ACTGGAAAATTAATTCCAGACAAAGTAGAGAAAGGGAATGCTGTATTATTTCAACTATAAAAGGCCCATTATACGTCAGGGTCTTGGAAAACATAGCAATAGAAACAGCAATCCTTTGCTATGGGTTGGATGCAGTAGGGAAGGGATAGAGTTTGTTTTATTGCAGTGTGCCAACTCCCCCGCCTCCTCCCGAAGTTTTGTGTCTATGCTAATAACTTGAAGCCATTCACAATGGATGGATTTTCGTTTCGTTGGTATCGTAAAAGCATTCATTTCGTCTGACTATTGTCTAACAAAAAGTTTTTATTTTCCCTTTTGACAAAAGAGAATTGAAGGGGGAGACGAGGGAGGGGGAATGGAAATTTTAATTAAACTAAGTTTAAGCTCCTGCAATAACCGGTGCCTTTTGTCACAACAAAATTTAGATACAAATTTAACCGAAAATGAGGTAACACCTAAAATATCTCTCGATATACTATTAGAGAGGACTACTGCAAAGTACTTCAGAAGTCAATACGCCTTAAGGTTTGTAACTACACCATCTCATCTGCCTTCAAGAACAAAGCAACGAAATGAAAAGGAAACTGAAGAGGAATTTGTAATGGAGTTAACTCAAACGATGTCCATTGTCCAATTTAAACACAATTCATGGTCTTGAGATTGGTAACTTAAATTCATTTTACTGTTACATTTCCACGCAGGCCTACGTCACTATCATTGCTCTACTGACATGCCACAGTTCCAGGGGTGATAACATCGCTACCTGACCTAGTAACGAAATTCAAAACCATAAAATGAAGAATTCTGTTTAGTTCATAAAATGATGGGTGTGTAGATTAACTAAACGGTAGTATGCAAACAGAAAGTACAGGGACATCTAACATATATTTTGTAGCATATGTTAGTTTTCATGCGAGAGAGAAATCAAGGGAGAAAATTCATCACTGACACGGTCATTAAGTTATATTCTAACAATTCATGTCCTCTGACGTGTTACATGTTAAAATATATGTATCTTTCGATTTGAACTTGCATCTCACCTTGTCACCTCTGTCGTCGACAAGTGCATTCCTTTATTGAAGAAAGCAGTCTTCTGGGATTTGGCACCGTGTATATGTGGTGTTAACCGACGTTTCGGAGGAACGTATCGCCTCCATCTTCAGGGTAGAAGAAAAAATATAAGAAATCTGCAAGCGAAGAGACCGTGAGAACCGG